ATCTCTGTAACCTCCTCCAGCCCCTACACCCCTCCCTATCTCTGTAAACTCCTCCAGCCCCTACACCCCTCCCTATCTCTGTAAACTCCTCCAGCCCCTACTCCCCCTCCCTATCGCTGTAACCTCCTCCTGCTCCTATTCCCCTCCCTATCTCTATAACCTCCTCCAGCCCCTACTCCCCTCCCTATCTCTGTAACCTCCTCCAGCCCCTACAACCCCTCCTTATCTCTGTAACCTCCTCCAGCCCCTATACCCGTCCCTATCTCTGTAACCTCCTCCAGCACCTACACCCCCTCCCTATCTCTGTAACCTCCTCCAGCTCCTACTCCCCTCCCTATCTCTGTAACCCATTCCAGCCCCTGCACCCCTCCCTATCTCTGTGCCCTCCTACAAACACGGCCTCTCGAGCATCTCTCATTTCCCATCGCTCCGTCAATGGGGGCCATGCCCTCATTTGCCTGCAGCCCTGAGCTCAGGAATTCCCTCCCCGAACACCTCTGACCCTCCCCACTTCTGTCTGTCTCTCCTCCTTTTAGCTGTCGCTTAAGACTGACTCAAGAAATGGTCCAGCCGTGACATTCTGTCCATCACGAGGCGTGTCTGAAGGTGCTGCATGTTCACACTGAGGGTATAATTTGGGATACCTCCTTAGTTATTTAGTTGCTTTTGCGATTGCGTTATCACTGCTGCTTTCGCTGGTGAATAATTGTGTGTTTACAAAGTTCTCACGTTCTCTCCAGATATCCACATTCAGATAAAGAAAATGTTGTGTTGTTGCTGGATGCTGGCCACTTTGTTTATCTTCTCAACATAATAAAGCCCCCCCCTGCTGCAAATTCACTGGAATGGCCTGTCTTTTGGAATATTTGCTAGACAGGGTCTTCAGTGGTCATCCTCAAATTGAAATGGGTCATGGCAGAAATGAAAGGGTTTGGGGTAAACTCCCTCAGGTTTGATCCTTCTCCCACCCCATATCATTGCTACAGCGCAGGTAGAGGCCATTGGGCCCATCGAGTCCACACTGACCCTCTGAAGTGCATCCCATCCAGACCCACATTGCCGCGTCCCCCACCCCAATCCCTGTAACCCTGTGCTTCCCATGGCTCTTCCACCCGGCCTGCACATCCCTGGGCATTATAGGTAATTTAGCATGGCCAACCCACCCTAACCTGCACATCTCTGGACAGTATGGGTAATATAGCACGGCCAATCCACCCTAACCTGCACATCCCTGGGCACTATGGG